GGTTTATGGTTTAGGGTTTAAGATTTAGGGTTTAGGGTTTAGTGTTTAGTCTCTGGGGTTTAGTCTCTATGGTTTAGTATTTAGTGTTTAGAGTTTAGGGTTTAGGGTTTAGTATCTATGGTTTAGTGTTTAGAGTTTAGGGTTTAGGGTTTAGTATCTAGGTTTAGGGTTTAGGGTTTAGGGTTTAAGATTTAGGGTTTAAAGTTTAAGGTCTAGGGTTTAATGTTTAGTCTCTAGGGTTTAGGGTTTAGTCTCTATGGTTTAGGGTTTAGGGTTTAGTGTTTAGTATTTAGAGTTAGGGTTAGGGTTTAGTATCTATGGTTTAGTGTTTTGAGTTTAGGGTTTAGGGTTTAGTCTTTAGGTTTAGGGTTTAGTATCGATGGTTTAGGATTTATTGTTTAGGAAGTATTTATGGTGACTGGCTTCTTATTAGAGATTATGTATTCTAACGTTGTCCATATGGAGTATCATATGGATTTTCACTTTTTCCTTTGTGTTTACGATTAGGGGTTTAAAACGAAAACGCATGTTTCGTTCTTGTTTCGAGTATTTCAATGAAAGGTCTTGAACAATAGGGAAATGTACATATGAAAATTATTAACGTAAAGAAGATGTGGACAGTAATCTATGAATATCAAAATGAGCACTCGTGGTGGTCACTTTTGGATGGACACAAATATTCTGGAGGTGTTACCGTGGCACAACGATCAGCCTTTGTTGTTTTTGGTACAAAGAACACACAAGTTAACACTAAAAACATCGTATCCATGATAATTAGTCCACATAACCTTGTCCATAATGCAATACGCATTACGAATTCTACACAGTTTCGTCTTTGCATTGCTAAAAGAACGATGTCCATCGAATATAGTATATGTGGATGATGAGTTATAAACGATGAGTTAAGCTCAACCCTTTTAGTGGTGATATAGTATAAAGTTTTTTTATACTTCTTTTGTATGAAATGTCTATTGAAGATAATATATGTGGATGATGAGTTATGGACGACGAAACACAAGTTAACTAAATCGAAGTCAACACCAAAATTGTTGTATTTGTGAAGATTAGTCCATTTGGTGTGATTTTTAGATAAACAACAGAAAAAAAAAATGTTAAGAGATTTCGAATACCAAACAACCAGAACACTTATTATTGAATATGAGCCAACGTGAAAGAAACTTAAGAAGAAGCCTCTATTAGAAGCAGACGGTGTCAAGTCTCAAGGATCACGTGAGTGCACGTGACGCAAGTCCAAAGAAGGTGTCGTTCATAGATATAAGAGACTTGAAACTTCTTCATCAAAAAAAGCACAAGACGAGAAGATTCAAGACTCAGTTGTTATACACAAGCCATCCATTCAATAATGAATATATGTATAGGAAAAAAATGGACAATGTTTAATATAATTATACAAGTAAAATATAGTAATATGGATCTTAAAATGAAGGAAAAATATAATAATAGTAATCAATTTGAACAACCTCTAAATATCTCTTTTATTACCAAACCTTTATTCTATTTTTATCCAACAACTAGATCTCACTCAGGAAACCGTGTCCATCTATAGCCATTAGATCTGAACTTTAACTATAATCTGACGGCCCACAATTAAAACAAATTTCTTTCTATCCTAACTAGTTTGTTATTCGATTGTTAGAAAAATGAGAAAAGAGAGGGTAAAATGGTATTGATTGGCTTGAAAAACTTAAAAAGTGTTCACTACCCTCAAAGTGCCTCAAATGCTCTAATAAACTTAAAAAGTGCCCCAACGTGGGAGAAGCCCTATTTATAATCAAACCAGATTAGGCCCCGCGTATACGCGGGGTTATAATGTAATACTTTGAAATCCGTAAACAAATTAAAAATAGAAATTTGAAAATGAAGTTAAATCATCCATATAAATATATAAAATAATATTTAATACGCCACCAATAAATATATAAAATAATATTGATTACGCTACCAAATCATCCACTGATGAAAAAGCTTAACAAAATGATATTATTTACTTATTTTGATTCTCTTATTTTTTATAATTATATAGTTTACAATTAATTTTTGTTACATGTTTGCAAATATTTAGTTTACACATATCAAATCTTACGATTCGATGACACGAAACACTTTAACGAATTTGATTTTCATATGTATATATATATATATATATATATATATATATATATTTTTTGTTCTTATTCCTTTGTTTCTTTTTCATAATTATTTTCACTACTCTTTTAAAATTTAATGGGACACAAAATAGTAGAAGTAAAAATAATAAAATAAAATTAGTATGTCCAATTGCTGTGTACTTTTGTATTTGCAATATTATTTTATATATTTTCATTGGTGAATCCGATTTCTCCACTTTTTTTTTGTTTTTAATTAGTTTCATGTGTTGTAAAATAGTAAATTACTCATATAATATTTTGTTTGTTATATTCCTATTGAATTATGTTTTTTTATTGTTTTCCTACTTAACTATATTTTTCTTTAAACTTTCAAAATTGATTCTCTTAAACTTATTTAATTTAGATTACCTTTTTAATCATATTCGACATTGTATTTTTTTCTGAATCGATATCTAAAATTCAATTTGTCATGGTTTACATGCTTTAAAATATGATGGACTTATTGACATGTGTTGTGATTACATTTATTACTACTTTTAGAACATCAAACTTTTTATAAAAAAATTATATACTTTAATCACTTTTTTGTTGTATAATTTCCTTTTTAATATATGTTTACAAAAAATAGTCATTGCAATTCTATCCTTATTAGGATTTGTAATTTACTTTATTAAAAAGGGAACAATGCTTTTAATTGTTTTCTTATTAGGATTAGTAATTTACTTTATTAAAAAGGAATAATGCTTTTAATTGTTTTATTATTATGATTAGTAATTTACTATATTATTTTCGTTTGATATACTTTTTCAAAAATAGTAATTGTAATCTTTTTTTTTATTGTTTACATGTGTCAAAATCTTATCGATAGACTTGACACATGTCTCGATCATATGAGTTACTAACTTTGAAAACCATACTTTATATAATAAGATATTTCCATGGACTCATTCTCTACTTGTTGATGTGGGATGTTACGTTTTTCCAAAAATTAATTAATAACCGGTTGGTTTTAGATTTGCTAGTTTAGTGCTTTTTCTCTCTCAAAGGGTCGAACATTGTTCAGAACATAACTCAAATTGAAACCCTAGTCAACTTTGCTCTCTCATAATCTCGTTTCTCCTCAAAAATTTGATCAAAACCAAACTAAATTTGACTTGATTTTGAGCCACTCTCATCTCTTTGTTCGTGAATCCACAGGTAATATCTCTAAAATCTTTAAATCGTTATTGCTCATTTTACAAATTTCAAACTAGTGTTTCATAAACATGTCTTTGATGTCTCTTTGTAGTAAATTAGGACGTCTTTATCTATTGTCTTTGATATCTCCGTACGCCTAGCCAATTATGATGTCTCTATGTTCTGGTTTTGATATCATAGGTTCCGCTGGTTTTTTTTTATTTCTCTATCTACTAAGTTCTGAATTTCTAAATGTTAGAATGGATGATCTACATCTAAAATAATTCCGATGATATGGGATGAGAATATGGAGTTTTGTGTGATCCAAAAAAATCCAGATAAGGTGAAATGTAAGCTGTGCGGAAAAGAAATGTCTGGTGGAGTGTTTAGGATGAAAGAACATATTGGTCATCAAAGAGGAAATGTTTCTCCTTGCCCATTGTCAACAAAAGAGGATCAAGCTAAGTGTATGAGTGCACTTAAAGAAGCAAAGCACAAGAAAACGAGAAAGAGACGACATGATAAAGAGCTTAGATTAGAGATGAATATAAATAAACCGTATTTGGATAATGTACTACAAGAAGAACTTGGAACTCAAACGGCTCCTCACTTCCAAGGTCGTCCCATGGATAAGTTCGTGAACTACATCAACCTTGAAGCTTCCTTAGCACAAACACGACAACAAAATATCCATGATGCAATTTCTAAAGAGAAGACAAATGCTGTTCGCCAATATTGTGCTAGGTGGATGTACCAGTCAAGTATTCCCTTCAATGTTATTGATAATGAAAGTTTCAGATTATATTGTGAAGCATTGGGATAATATGGACCTGGTTGGGTTCCTCCTACTCAATACCAGCTGAGAGAACCATTGTTAAATGAAGAGCAAGAGAGGATAAAGAAAAAGTTGAAGAGTCTAGAAGTAGAATGGGAAGAACAAGGCTGCTCCGTAATGACAAATGCATGGGGTGACATGAAAAGGAGAAGCATAATGAATTTGTTTGCCAATTCAAGAGGAGGTGAGACCAAATATATTTTGGACAGGTTGCGCTGCTCACACCATCGACTTAATGCTTGAGGGAGTTTCCAAGTTGCCTTGGTTTGCAAAAGTGATCAGTCAAGCTAAAGGTCTCACTGTCTTTTTATATGTTCATCATAAAACGTTATCCATGATGAGAGCAAATACAAAGAAGAGGGATATTGTGACACCAGGAGCAACACGATTCGCCACATGCTTCTTGACACTACAAAGTCTACACAAGAAGAAATCACAATTGATGTCTATGTTCGGCAGTGACGAGTGGCATGAATGCAAGCATTCTAAGTGTGTAAAAGGAAAACAAGCATCTGATAAAGTTATGAGCTATGCATTGTGGAGTAGTGTTATCGTGGTTTTAAAAGTGTTCAATCCTATGGTTAAGGTTCTAAGACTTGCAGATGGGGAAAAGAAACCTCCTACGAGATTCATTTATGGAGAGATTCTAGAAGCTAAAAGTCGATCAAAGAAGCTTCTAATCATTTGGAAAAGAATTACAAACCTATCTTTCAGATTATGGATGAGAAAATGAAAGGTAGATTGGATTCTCCTTTGCATCTTGCTGCTTACTTTCTAAATCCATTCTACTTCTACAAAGATCCTAATATTCAATATGATATGGAGATGAGAGAGGGATTTATTGCTTGTGTTGAAACTTTTTATCATGGTGACTTTGAGAAGCAAAATAAAGTAGTGAATGATGAGATTAATCTCTATAAGAAAAATGTGGCTCTTTTGGGAAAAACTTAGCATTAAGAGGATGTGAACAAAATGATGAAGCATTTGATCCAGGTTTGTCTTCTCAATTGAATTTAATTGTTCTTGTTTGATCATTTATGTCTTTGTATAAGATATGTTCTTGTATGAGATATCTTATATTGTAAATTTAGAGAATTGGTGGGCAACATATGGATGCCATGCATGCACCTACGTTGCAAAAGCTAGCAACAAAAATCCTTGCTTTGACCTCTAGCTCTTCTGGTTGTGAAAGAAATTGGAGCAGTTTTGAAGCGGTTAGTCTTTAAATATCTGTTCTTAGTGATTAATTCAACATTTTAATCTCTGTTTTTGTATAGCTATTTATGCTTCAGCTCCTATTTTAATATCTCCTCTTGAATTGCAGATTCACACTAAGAAAAGGAATATATTAGATGTCAATCGTCTAAACAGCCTTGTTTATGTCCAAATTAATGCAAGACTTTTTAACAAGCACAAAAAAATGAAAGAGAAAGCAATAGATGTGATTATAGATGATGGTAATGAAGAAACCATCGAAGATTGGATTGTGGAGGAACATCAAGATGACCAAGCTACTGTTGTTGGTGTCGTACCTAATACCCAATCTCCAAGGGTAAGAGAGCTTTATGATGATGATTTTAAATCTGAGGAAGCAGATGAAGTAATGCTTGAGATGGAATTTGAACCTGATGTGTTCCATAAAATCCTGAATTTCGTGATACACCAATGGGTTACTAAGGTTCGTTTTTGTTGTTGATGATTACTTGTTATTTTTTACCGTGATAGTTTGAATCTATCTTGCTATTTCTATTTTCCTTTGTTTGATTACTTGATCAATTGTTTGATCATTTGCAAGATAATCAAGAAGTCCTAACTAAACAAGAAGTCCAACATATGCAAATTACTTGATCATTGAAGGAAATCAAACGAGGAAGAAGTAGTCTTCACTCTTTTTGTGACCTTTCACTATTTTTTGTGTGTCTCAAGATCAAGACCATACTATTTTTTGTATATCATGTTGGAACTTTAATTTGTATTTTGCATATGTATTTAGGATGAATGTCAATCTGATATGAAGTAATTTTGCAAAATTATTTATAAATTTTAAAATATTTTTGTATCCTAACACTAGAAATATTTTAAAAATATTAAAAATTGCTCGACAAACTAATCCTGATTAAATCTCGTTTAATCTCCGATTTTTTCGCTAGGCGCTAGGCCCACCTTGAGCACCCGACTAGCGCCTAGCGATTTTTTGAACGTGAAGTATAACATTCTTCTTACACAACAAATAAAGTTTTTATTAAACAAAATTCCTTAACCGGGTTTACTTGGTAGGTAAAGAGCCCAATCAGCGATTTTAGTTTTTCGATTCGGTTTGGATAAGTTAATTCGATTTTTTTGGGTATTTTGGTGTTTGAAAATTTTGTCAGAAATAACCGAATTTATCCGAATTTTTCTCGGTTAATTCAGGTTTTGACTTTTAAAACCAAAAATAAACAAATGTTAAGCTTTTTGTATTAAAATCATATAATTTCGGTTAGTTCGGTTCGATTAACCGAATTTTGGTCTATTATTCAAATTTTGCTTTCTCCTAATCAATAAGTAGGCTTCGCCAAAAATAAATTAATGAGAACGAGAAAAAAAATTAAGAATTGACTATGAAACATTAATGAAACAAACAGTTTTATAAAAAATCTTTCTTCAACCTCCAAACTAAAATTCTAGAAATTAAAGAAATTTTTTTACGGCGGCCGCTGTTGAAAATGGCGGTGACGATGATGGCTGATGACGGCGGCTTAATGACAGCTCGACTATAGTTTATACTCTCTCCGTTTCATAATATAAGTCGTTTTGGATAAATCATTTTTTGTTTCACAATATATATCGCTCTCAAGTTTCTATGCATATTATATATTACTTTATTATTTAATAATTATTTTTATTATGCAGTATTTTTTATGATTAGATGAACTTTTTAAACGTAGATATTCTTAATCCGTGTGCTTTTAGCTAAAAGGATTTATATTATGACACAGAAGATGTAATTTGTTTTGGGTAGTTTATACCAAATATCTCTTGGACCCAAACATTAGAAATCTATGTCTCTTTTTTAGAATGGTATAATTAACCGTTATTAGATCTGGTTATGCCTAATTTGAGATTTAGTTTCGGTTTACTTTGGTTTACTAAAATTGTATATAAACACCAAATGTAACAAATTTTCCCGGTTTGAGAAATAGAAAATCATTTCACAATCTTTTTGTTCATGAACTCTATTAATGTTCTCGTCTTTCTAGATCTCGTACCTTGAGGTTTTTCTTTCTTTTAAATTTTGACAAACGACTTAAATCTTGTATCCATTATGGGTCCGAATGGTAAAAGCGTATTTGATCGTGCGGAAATAGCGGTTTTATAGAGCGGTACGGTTCAACTACGGTATGTGCAGGAGAAACATATTTGCGGGACAAGTGCGGTTTTGTGAAATAAGCGGTACAAAATAATATTTGATTGGTGAAAAAATAATTTGCGGAATACATATATGATTTTTAGAAAATATAGTTAAGATTTTGTTACTTTACTTTATAGTATACATATATATATATATATATATATATATGTGCTGTGTATTTTTAATCAAATCATGAAAGTATACATCAATTTTTCATAATTTAATATATCAATTGCTTTAAACTCGTCCACCATATAATTTCGTTCCAAAATATAACCCATCCTGTAACTTCTTAACCCGTCTAGTGATTTGTTTTCTAAAAGTAGTAATTTTAAAAAAATTTAACGATATTTATTATATATAAAAGTTTACAAATTGTATCATTTTCTAAGATATTTATATTTTATAGTTTATAATTGTTATTAAGTAACATTATACCACGGGACAATTTTTGGTTTTATACAATCTTTTCTAAATGAGATTCATTTAATCTATATATAATAGCAATCTAATAAATACCATTTGCACATCTGAACGGTTGCGTCTTTTTATCGCAACTTCTCGTTAATGTTTTTATTAATTAAAATATATATTTTACGGTTATGTTTTTTTTTTATAAATTGCATTTGGAATGTTTTCTACGGTTGCGTTTTTTATTGTCACTCTTCCTAAACAGTTGAAACTTCTTATTCGAATCATTGCAATATTTAGTTTATTTTACGAACAATTGCAACATTTGGTTTATATATTTAGTTTATTTCACGAACAATTGCAATTTTTGGTTTATTTTATAAATAGCTATAACATTTAATTATCTACCGCCGCATCTCTCGGTGTAACTTTTCATAAATTATTATTTTAATTCTTAATTTTTAATTACTAAAATGTATTTAAATGAGATTGTAACTATTTAATTGAACTGTTTCAACGTTTGGATTATTTGACGAATTATTGCAACTTTTGGTTTTATGTTACGAACCATTATTATCTTTAGTATATTTGATGAACTATTGTAACATTTGGTATAATTGACGAACCGTTACAGTTTTTGGAATATTTGATATCTACGGTTGCGTTTCTCGAATAAGTTTGTCATACTTTTAAAAAATATTTAAATACTAAAATATATTTAAATGAATTTTTGTTACCGTTTAATTTAACATAATAGCATTTGGTTTATTTGACGTTGAACGTTTTGGCTTATTTATCAAACCATGGTAATATTTTGTTTATTAGTTTATGCTTTTTGCACTTGGGAATAGTGTTTTAGTTACAAATTATTGTTTTTCTAATATTAATATACTTAATAAATGCGTGTGAGGGTTTTCTTTATCATAATTTTTGTAAAATATATATTGATTCTATATTAAAAAAAAATCAAAATTATTACAATTCATTATGAATTTTTTCGTTTGATATTTTTTTAAATAATTTTTGAAATATATTCCCCCGCGACATCGCGGGGGTCCTGATTCCTAGTATGTCTAATATTGGTGGTATTAAAAAAAAGTAAGGATTTAATCCGTATTGAAGTGGCGGATTAATGATATTTTAATCTTTTTATTATTGTTGATTCAAAAATCTGTCCCGCCAAACCCGTCCGGTCAAAAAACTCATTTATTTTATTAATGTTGATCTTATTTATGATATGATTCTGAATCATTGTCTAAATATTTTAATCGATATAGAACGTTGAACACACATTTTCATCAATTGGATAATATATGTCCGTTTTTAAAATTTTGAATCACAGTATATGCAGAAAAAAAAATTGATATTTTTTACTTTATATATTATATGATGATTCAAAACAGTTAAAAACAAATCAAACAAAGATGAAAGGAGAATCATAATTCTAAATCTTAATCAAATCTTCTAAATATCTAAATTATTAAATATGGAATATCCGGTGTATGAGTTGGGTTAAATATAACCCGACCCAACAAACTTTTTATGACCAAATTTGTAAACGGGTCGGGTATCCAAAGTATTCGAGAATAATTTTACCCACCCGACTAAAAAATGACTGCAAAAATACTAGTATAGATCTAATGTTTGGGTATGAAATTTAAACTTTTTATGGTTTAGGTTGGAATTAACCCTACGCGTTTGTTCAGGTATGAAAACATACTTTACAAATTGTATGGGTATGAAAATACCCTTTTCCCCACATCTAATCATCATCAGAATTTTCCAATCTAGGCTCCGAAACAATGTCTATAGCCGGTCTAACAATACCAGTACACGAACAATTCCATATCGAGTCCTCTTTATCAACTATAACATCTTTATCCTTAACAATATATTTTCACAACAAAATCATACTGTTATACTAACGCATGTCATCACGTTGAAGACCATAAGTCGACTGCAAGAGGGAGAACGATCTGTGTCCCCCTAGTAAGTTTCATATAGTACCATATCAACACAGATTTCGGGTCTCGTCTCCAGTCCACACAAAACAAAACTTAAACTCCAGTTTCCCCCTAAAATAAAATTTCGAGATCTCAGTCTCCATAATTTCAAATTTTGTGGGTTATCATCGGTTTACTGTGCCGAACCCGATGCCAAACCAAAATAATAAACCAATTTTGAACCCGATTCGAGTTATCACAACCCGAAATAAATACTTAATTCAAGAATCCCCAAATCTTAGAACCCTAATTTCGATTTTTCTCTTCAACATCAGAGATTTCAACATCAGAGCTTTGAAGTCTGAGCTCGAATATGAGCAATTCATCCGGAGCTACGAGTGGAGCATCAAATGTGGGACAGGGAAGAAGAGTTGTGGGTGTGCCGAAGATGTGTTGGTGTGGAGCAAGTATCTCGGCGATCATCTCCAAATCCGCCGCCAATCCATACCGCCGTTACTATCGTTGTGCTTATGCTGCATCACATAAGATAATGTGATTGATATTTGGGTTGTTTCTTTCGAATTTTGACTTTAATTCTCTGGTCTCTGTAGCTTATCGATGATAACCACACTTTCAAGTGGGTTGACGAAGCTTTGTTAGATGAGATAGAGAGATTGAGTATAAGAACGAATGCACTTGAACAAACCATGTCCCAAATTACATCAGACATTATGGATCACCAGAAGATGATTTTTGAGAGGATGCAAATGAAGCTAGAGAAAGAGATTTTTGAGAGGGTAGAAGCAGAACTGTTGGAATCCAAATCAAGCATGAAGAAAATGTCGATTGTTGTCATCGTAGGGTGTATGATCATGCTTGGTTTGAGTAAAGTGTTAGGCTGAAACGAGTGTATTGGCTTGTTGTTGTTGGTCTTTGTTTGTGCTTCTTGTTTTGTTTTGATCCTCTTTTGGTAGTCTAATGAAACATGAAATTTGGTTCTTGTGCTTGTTATGTGTACTTCTTGTTATTTTGTAATGTTAAATTTTCCTAAAACAGATACATAGTAGCAAAAAACTGAGACATAAATAGCATAAATATTAGGACATAATGTCCCACATCGGAAGTTGGAAGGGATCCAAGTAATATATAAGGGATATGAGCCACTCCACTCATAGCCAATTGGTTTTGAGTTGGAAGTCCATAGAACTTATCATGGTATCAGAGCACGATCCACACATGTCCAACCCGATCCGACCCAAAGATGG